ATCCAAATCATAAATCAATATAAATCACCCATTTTTCAACGTTTTCTGTTAAAAAATGCTAACGTGGCAAACAGAATTCTGACGTTTTTCGTTGAAAAATGGATTATTTGTATTGATTTATAATTTGGAGGGACAATTTGTCCCTGCTTTTTTTTGAGGGGTGGATATGTCCCTACCGATATTTTTTGAGGATGGATTTGAGGGTTTTGCCTTAAAAAATTATGATAAATTTCATCCATTAAAAATAAAAAGATAAATGATAAAAATTTTATATAAATATAATGTATAAAACTTAAGGAATAATACTTATTCACCTTACTTCCTAAAGATTATATGAAAAATTATTCTAAAATTATATTGTTTTAATAAACTCTCATTAAAAAACACTAAAATGTTGGCTCAGTGACTTTAAGAGAATGGTGAATTAGAGTTGGAAAATTTTCACATCTTTACAATCAAAAAACAAAAATTAACAAGAGAATAGGAAAGAAGAACTTGCACAATAATTTCATAGAGGTTCGATCCAACCACTTAGAGCCTAATCCTCTACTTTGGCTTCACTCACTAAGGATTTCCTTCACACTCTCCACAAAGAAAAACAATGGTAGCTTAAAAGAGCCATTCAATTCTTTTATAAGAAGAATAGTGTTTTTCTCAAATCTCACCTGTTTACCAGTTAAACCCTAAGAATTTTCTCTACAAATCGCTCTTGAAGGAATAATCACACCCTCAAAATAACATACAAGTAGAACAAGCAGAGGGTTACAAGCAAAGATCAAAAACTCAAATTAAAGCATAAGTTGGTAGGTAAAAGTATTCAATACAATGCTTTAAAAAATATTCCAAATATGCCACCAACCATATTTATAGCATTTTGGTCGAAAATAGCCGTTTCTAGTCGTAGGGGGTTATTAATTCTCTGCAGATCGTGTAAGCTCAAGTTGCAGACTTGTCAATACAGTTGGCTTTAACTCTAGAGCCGGCTTTGTTGAATTGGCTTTAAATTTTAGAGCTGGCTTTATAGCCTTCCTGCACATTTTGTTTTTCTCAAGAGCCGGTTGCAAAAACATAAAGTTGACTTTGGAAATTTGACTTTACAAGATTAAAATATTTTTTAAATAACTCAACCATTGGAAATTAAATGTGCTATCACAGTTGGCTGTAAAGATATAGTCGACTTTGCGTCCATTTTTCACGTGTACCAAACTGCAAGTTTAAAACTTTCGCTCATAAAACCCGCTGCAGATTCTAAAGCTGGCTCTCTGTAGTTTTGTTCATTAGAGCCAATTGCAGATTTTTAGAGTCGGTTCTTTGCACAGTTTACATGCTTTTTTATCCAATTAGTGCAATCTAAGTTTACTTAATTTTGCAATCTTTAAAAGTTCAACTATACACTTAAATTAACAAATTAGTCATTCAAATGTGTTTTATAATTATCAAAATCATGGTGCAACATAAAATACCCTATTTTTAAAACATGAATTATGGTATTTTTTATCCTTTCCTGTAGTACTTTATTGAATTATGGTATTTTTTATCTTTTCTTATAATATTTTATTGAAATAATGTAGTTTTAAGATTTTTTTTAATTTTTAGAAAATAAGACAAATAAATACTAATTTTTAAAACTTATATATAAGTTCTCTTTTTTATTTTTTAATAAAAAATAAGTATTGTAAACAATTTAAATAATTTAGTGATAATTATTTTTTATTAAAAATAAAAAAAAATTCAATTTAAATTGTGTAATATACAAATAAAATAAATTAAAGAAATTAACCTCTAATTAAAATAATTCAAAATAAAAAATCGAGTATTATATTGTGTGTGGAATGAGAGCGCAGTACTGTCATACAATCCTGAACTGGACAAGGTATAATAATTAAGAAAGAGTGAAAACACACGATAAAATTGAAGTGGCCCAATGAGGACGCAGGTGGCCGTTTCCGTATGGGACAAGTGCTTTTGAGAAATGGAACAACCAAAGGGCCACCTGCCTTGCCATATCCCACTACCATTTGAAGGGACAAAGGAAAGGACCTTTCAATCTTGATGTTTGAAATTCCTTAGCTCCATATTGGAGCAAATGATTAATAATATAGAAATAATTTTTTTACATAATTTTTATATATTATTAAGTAAATATATTTAATATTTTAAGTTTTAAATAATTAAAAAATTAATTACTTAAATAATATATAAAATTATATTAAAAATAATATAAAAAATTATCTCTGAATTATTTTTAATTTCTTTATTTTTTTTCTTTTTATTTATAATAATTAAGGGGAAAAAAACTAAATAAATGCAATTAGGAATCTGGCATTATTTCTTGGGAAAGTAAAGAAATCCAATCTTTTATGGGGCAAATATCACATGGATTTGTGGTTATCAATCAAACCGACAATACTTTGTGAGGATTAGTCAGAATATGGTCCGAGTATGAAATTTGATCAAGCCTAGATGCAACCGAGACATATAACTACATATGATTCCCTAAGGTTATGTTTGATTGTGAGTTATGGTCATTCCTTGAAAAGTAATTGTGTGATTTGATCTTTTAGCTAGTTTAAATCTCATTAAGGATTTGAACGAAACTTAGAGCCTGTTTAGTGTGGGTTGTGAGAGCTTTTGCTTTTTTAGTACTATTATGAGTGATAAATTTAAATTTTTATTGAAGGAAAAATAGAGTTTTAGCTTTTATAAAGGTGAAAAAGTGAGTGAAAAGTAAGTAAAAAGAGAGTTTATGAAAAGTTTGGATTTGAAACTTTTGAACTTTTACTGTTTAAGAGTTTTTTGAAATTAAAAAAATATTTTAAAGTTAAAAAAATATTTTAAAGTGTAAATTTTTCAAAGGAAAATTTAAATTCATGAGACATGAATAGTGTCCAAAAGCTGAAGCTCTTAGGAGCTGATCCAAACATGCCCTTAATCTAAGCAAGAGAAAAAGTTGGGGAAGAAACCTAATAATTTGAAGTCTTCTGTAAAATTGGAGGCACAATTGCACTAAAGTACTTGCACTTCTCTTCGGGAAAGGTCCCTCCTCAATGAATATTACCTCTGTTCATAGGGAAATGAAAGAGGTGTCTTAAAATAAATATTCCTAACATGTCTTAATCAAACCACACATACCCTAAAATTTTTATTTTTTGACTTTTAAGTTTTTTTATATTTATAAAACATAAACAGTTTAAATTATATTAAACTGTATTATATTAATCATTAAATAAAAATTAAATCTTTTAATGTTAAATTTTTTTTATCTAATAATATATATTTTACAATTATATACACTCTCAAGAGTAAAGTAAGGTATATGTTTTTTTAGTTTGATTTTTTTCACCAGGCTAGGGGCCTCACTACAGTTTTCAGTTGTAGGCTTTTGTCGGGTGTGGGCTGAAACTTATAAGAATAGGCCCGAAGCCAGTTTGGGCTTCATTAATTCCCTTTGGAAATTCAAATGGTTAAATGCTAAATTTGGTCCCTCAACTTTAGTAAGTTGCATATTTTTGGTCTCTCAACAATTTTTTGCACTTTTTTGATCCCTCAACTATACAAAATGCACTCTGTTAATCCTTCTGTCAATTTGGGCCGTTAACTCGGCTACATGGCATTTTTTATTTTTTATTTTTTATGACATGGCAAGCACAACTTAAAAAGATGCTTATCTAGACTTTTCTTTTTTGAGGACATGTCATCTTCTTCACGCCAAACCCCTCCAATGGATCCCAGTTGTTTGCAAACTGGTCTCTCATCTTCACCCTCTGCAAAATCGATCTTAACCCATTTCTTTTTATTCTCTGAATGCTCTCTCATCTCCACTCCATCTGCAAAATCGATCTTAACCCATTTCTTCTTCTTCCGTGAATGCTCTCTCATCTCCACTCCATCTACAAAATCGATCTTAACTCACCCATTTCTTCTTCTTCTCTTTTCTCAGGGAAACTTGAGCTATTGGGTTTCATTGAAACCTCAAATTTGGCAAATCTTATCAAATCAAAATAACCCTTCAATAAACAATACCAATCAAACTCTAATCGAATTTCAACAAAAATATAATCAAACTTTAATCAAATTCCAACAAAAATGCAATCAAATTATAAATCAATCTCCAAATTTATTAACAACTAGAAATGGAAATCAAAAGAAGAATGAAAAAACAAGAACCAGCTTTCCAAGCAAAGCTGGGTTCGACGAAACCCAACAAGGCTGGGTTCGTCGAAACCTAGATTTGCTAGGTTCCGATGAACCCAGCCTTGGTTGGTCGACGAACCCAGCAAGGCTGGGTTCGGTGGAAACCCAGCCTATCCAAGGGCAGGAAAGAAAGAAAGAAAGAGAAAGAAAGAAGGGGAAGAAGAGGGATTGGGAGGGTGAGGGTAGTAAGGTAATTTTATATGTTTTTAATTAAAATATGTATATTAATCTATGTGGCATTTTTATTTATTTATATAACATAATTATAATATATATCATCAAAAAAATTAAAAAACAATGCCACATGAAATTATTTAATTGTCACATCATACTTAACTGACGGAAGGACCAAAACTATACAATTTTTAGAGTCAAAAGATCAAAAAAATGCAAAATATTGTTAAGGGATCAAAAATGTGCATTTCATAAAGTTGAGGGACTAAATTAGCATTTAACCAAATTCAAATGTTTGGAGGATAGCCGATCGAAAACCTGCACAGCCTTAGAAGAATGGGAAGCCGTTCGCAGGTTCTACATTCCATAAACAATATGATATTAAATAAATATATGATATTATTAGGATATAAATTTATTTATATTTAAATTATATATATAATATTTA